GTGATAATTGTCTTCTTAAAAAGTATTATTTTTAATTTTTAAAAATGTTTTAAAACATTCAACTTACATGTATTAATTTATATAATTTTTAGTACTATGTCAAACATCGAAAATGAAGTAAATGAGAGAGACTGTTGTACTGCTAGCAATTCAACGAACATAAGCAATGATTCATTTATTCAAAAAGGTATTTTTAATAACATTATTAGAAAAGTAATAAAATAATTACAGATTAAAATTAATGTAATAATTTCAGATAATACAAGAAAAAGACAACGAAGTGGTGATGATGATACATCAGGTGCTATTAATAGAATTGCTGAAGCAATTTGTCAGCCAAGCACATTAACATTGCCTCCTCCTCCAGAACAGGATGATGTAGATTCATTTCTACTAGCGATAGGACATCATTTAAGACAACTGCCAACGCTGACAAGAATAAAAGTCATACAACAATTCTTAGAAATAGTTTATAATGAATTAGCAAAACTTTAAACTGTGACTTATTTTAAAAATTAATGTAATACTATTATATTATATATACTAATATACTTATATATTATAACTATTATATTATATACTAACATATTATAACTATTAAGTAAGACTACAACTAATGTAAAAATGTAAAGTAAAGTTACATGTAAAGTTACATATGTAATTATTTAAAATTAAAAATTTTTTAATAATTATGATAAGTAAATTGCCATGGTATGACTCCTTCAGTATTGAAAAATTTACAAAATTCTTCAAGAATTTTTGCCGCTTGTCGAGAACTATTATTTGTACCACATTGGGTTACATCTTTGAATGCACTATTAATTATTTCTTGTCTCCAAGAACCAGGAAGAAACTCATCTGGACCATCTTGATCTATCATTGTTGGAGTTACATATTGATTTTCTTCTAAATCTTGATGTCGAATCCAATTATGAAGACATACAATGGCTTGTACTATTTTCATTGCTTTGTCAACAGTACAAATTATAGGTCTTTTAAGAATTCGCCATTGACTAACCACAATACCAAAAGTATTCTCAATAGTCCGTCTCGCTCGACTGAGTAGATAATTATAAATTGTTCTATCTTCAGTTAAACCAGTACGACCAGGATAAGGTCGTAATAGATACTCCGTTAGTTGAAAGGCTTCATCGCCTACCAGTACGTAAGGTAGAGGTGGTCCATTTACTGTCAATGGTTCTCATTCCGGTAAATTCATTTCTTTTTTTGTAAATTTTTGTCCAATTATTGAATCTTTAAAGATTCCACCATCGCTACGTCTACCATACCCTCCAATATCGACAAACGTAAACTTATAATTAGCATTGCAAATTGCAAGTAATACAATACTATGACTATTTTTATAATTGAAGTAGGATGAACCTGCATTGTTTGGACACTAAAAAAATATTTTTTATTTTGAACATTGTTTTTTCAACATTGTTTTTAAAAGTGTATATGTACCTGAATTAAAACGTGTTTCCCATCAATGGCTCCGACGCAATGATGAAAATTCCATTTTTCTTCAAACTCATGGGCTATATTTAACCATTCAGTTTCTGTTAAAGAAGAAGGTAGTACTTTCTTTTGGAGACAAATCCAAATAGCATTGCATGTTTCTTCAATTATATTACTTATAGTTGTCAACCCAATTAGATATTGATAAGACATAGAGCTCATTGAGTCTCCAGATGCTAAAAATCTACAAATTGTAACTATATTATCATTTATAATAAAAAATTTTATATAACTAAAAAATTAATTTTATATTACAATCTTACCTTAATGTTAAAGATAATCTTTCTGCCGCTGATATTGGTTCACGAATTACCATTTGTTTGGTAATAAATGGTGTCACCAAACATAATAAATTTTCAAATTGAGTGGGAGACATACGAAAATAGTTCCTAAATCTACTTTCTTCCAAAATAATTATGGGAAATATGGCATGATAAAATCCATATGTTTTACGTCTTTGTAACATTGGCTCTATCCAATATCGTTTTTTACGATAATTTTTTTCTTTTTGTTTTTGTTTAATGCAGATTATGGCTAAAGCAGCTAAAGCTGCTTTATGTTGTTTATTTCTTTCAAATGATTTTACAGCGCATTCACTTAACCAAGTATAATATTTATTCCGGAATGACATCTTTACATTAATTATTACATATACGTATGTACATACACTATTCATAAGTGTTTTGATACTACAGCGTCAATTCCGAGACGCTATAATCCTTTTCATGGATTTAAACTGACGCTGGCGTCAGTAGCGGTAACGTGACCCTTTTGACGCTGAAAATGAGCGTCGAGCGTCAGCATGAAAAGGTACCTTTACACCAAACATTCCTAATTGGACACGAGTGCGGAGTGGACGCACGAGCCGAAGGCGAGTGCGATCACCCGCACGAGTGTCCAAGGGTGCGTTCCTTTTGGGCGCTCACGCGCTGTAAGCATCGCTCTATCTTCGTTTGATATTCGATGTGCAACGAAGATAGAATGATGCTTACAGCGCGTGTGAGCGCGTGAGCGCCCAAAAGAAACGCAGCCCAATTCTCATCCCGCACGTGTTACACACCCTATTTTATATTACAAAGTGCGTGGAAAGTGGCCCATTATTGCGCGCGCGTCATTTGTGCGACGGATGGCCGATTCCATACACGAGTCAAAACAGTGCGGTAATGTTTACATTACCGCACAGTTTCGAAGAAACAGTGCGGTAATGTTACATTACCGCACTGTTTTGACTCGTGTATGGAATTGGCTATTTGTCACACAGATGGCGCGCGCGTAATGGGCCACTTTCCACGCACGTGTGATATAATAGCATTTTAGTTAACCCGTTGACTATGTATGACGGCTATAGCCGCAAAAACAAAAGTGGTTAAGGAGTGTGTATGACGGCTATAGCCGCAACGTAGAAAAAACAAAGTAAAACTTTCTGAATTTGCTTGAAACTTGTTACTCGGGGGTTTCTGGGATCGCTGATTACGAATCCGAAGTCAGATGTACAAAATGAAAAATGGCGGATCTAATATGGCGGATCAAAATTACCAAAAAAGGTCTGATTTTTATGAAATTTGGTACCCTTATGTTTTTTGGGTCTCTAAATCCAAATATGAAGTCAGATTTTCAAAATTCAAAATAATAAAATTTCGTCTATTTTTTGTTATTTTGATCCGCCATATTGGACCCGCCATTTTGAATTTTGTAAATCTGACATTATATTCGGATTCAGAGACCCAAAAAACATAAGGGTATCAAGTTTCATAATAATCCGATGAACTTTTTTTTCAACACACTTTTGTGGGTTACACGACAGTTTCCCGAAAAGTAGAGGGGATAATGTTGGTACCAACGAAAATCCCTAAGAGCGTCGTAATAATTTCTACGGGTTAG